CTCACAGCGCCGGGCGGTGTCTCTGTACGTTAACCCGGTTTGCACGAAGCAGGGAGCTCCTGGTGATCCTCCAAAAGCTCCCTGGTCATCAAAAGTTTACACTGTTTGCACATTTTAACAGAAGTATCAGCAATCATGGTCACAAATGGTATCACTTCTGTGTTTGATTAGTCCTCAGACCCCTCTCTGAACCTCTCTGGCTGGGAGCGGTTTGTCCTGCTGTGGGGTGACGAGTGCCCTGCCATGGGTTAAATGGGATCTGTGCCTGCTGTGGGGTGACAAGTGCCCTGCCATGGGTTAAACGGAGGTTGGCTCCAGCAGCTGGAAAACACACCTGTGATCCAGGTGCTTTTCCAACCTTGATTTTTGGAATCTGAGTTTTCAAATCACCACCTGTGGCCACCATGATGATGTTGTTCTCCTGTGTGACTTCACAAGTTGATAAATATTCTCTCATATGATGATTATTATTTTATTTCACACAAGTCTATGGCCATAATTTCACGTAGAAATTATTTCTGTAGGGTAAGAAAGGGAATAATTTGTCAGACTACCAAGACCACTTAGATCAGTTGGATGTGGTTTCTATTCAGGAAATATCTTTACTCACCTTGCTGTGCTAAAAAAATGAGCTGTTTTAGTATTTCTGTGGTGATTGGCCTATTATTCCTATTTTGCCATTTTCATATTTTCCCTTGGTGATATGTTGCCATTTTCAGTGTCCTGGTTTCAGTAATTTGACTTTGCCCTTCTTGAGCTTGGACACTGACTTGTCCCCCAGAGCAGGAGGGACCTGACTGCTGCAGTGCTTGTTCCTCTGACACAGGTAAAATCCAAATGTAAGTCACTGAAGCACAAAGTTGCTTCCTCAGCAGTTGCTCGGTTGTGAGTGGCCCCAGAGATGTGAAATAAAAAGCAAGAAAGCCAAACCAAATATGTGTGTGTTCTTTACTAAAAGTTCTGTATAAGATCAGTATATTAAAACTTGAAGCAGAAGAGATGACTACAAAAATACAGGGTTGTTATCATGTAGCAAGAAATAGCATGTCCACTTTTCTTTCTGATTTTACCCATGTAATAAAGCAAAGGCCTGTGTTAAGCCTGGGTTTTAGCACTGGTATTGGAATTATGCAAGGGTTTAGGATAATATCTGATAGCAGGAGATGAATTTCTCAAGAGCAACATCACTCTGCCAACTTTGCTGAGATTTATCCAAGATCTGCAATATTTTCAAGAAATGAAAGCATGTCCTTACTCATCATTACAAGGAATTTCAACACCTGCAGTGGTAGCATCAGAAGCTGTTGGAGCAGCTTCAAAGCCGCAAAAGTCTCTCTATAGTGTTTTACAGCTAGTTTTTTTTTTTCTTTCTAGTGCTATCTGTCTGGATTATAAGCTTCCCCCCAATCCAGCTTTGTTGGATTTCATTCAGTTGAAAAGATTAACAAGAGCAGAAAATGCTAAACCACTCCTGAAAGTGATGGTGGTACGATATCACAGAAGGAAGCACACTCTGCCTTCAATTCACAGTTTGTTTTTAATTATATATGTTTGTAATGAATCACATAACCCAGGTATTCAGTGGTAACTCAGAAAAATGCTACAGTTGGATGTGGATGTTTTGGGTGGCTCCCATAGCCGTGTGGCAGTGCAGCTGGGGTTGTTTGGATTATTCTGTGCTAACAGGATGACAGGATTTTATGGAGTGGTCCACGCCACCAGAGGGAGCAGGCAGATGTGTGTAAGAAATGCTGCCAAACCCAGAGCACAGTGCCAGGGACACTTCAGTGTTACTGAAGGAAGAAAGAAAGACTTGGATTAGTTTCCTACAATTTTACAATGCATTGCTAGCATGAGGTAATATGTAAATCTCCCGTTCTCATCAGAAGTCTACTTAAAGTCAGCTTGTTTTGTAAATCACAAATACAGACTTGGTGGAAGGGCAGGAAATCCCTGTTAAAAAGGTGAAAAGCCAAACCAAAGGGTTTCCCACTGTGCAGAGAAACTGAGCATCAGTAACGGGGCAGGGACTTGTCTGCCTCGTGTGAAAAGCCCTCTGTGCCTGTCTGCAGAGGAGCCTGCAGCTTGGTCATGTTACCTGGACGAACCTCACTTTCAGGGGAAAAAACCCCCTTTCCCTTCTGCTGTGGGTTCAGCAGATTCCCCATCCCTCCCCAGGAGCAGCCTGGGGGAAGCAGCTCCCGGAGCCCGGCCCTGTTGCAGGAGCAGCTGTGCAGAGCTGCAGGCAGACCCAGCCCTGAGAGCCAACCCCACTCTGCACAAACCACCCCGTGCTTCCCTCTCTGCTGACCGCCCTGCCCCTAAACCTGACTGGGGCACTGCGTGCACCTCTGCCCCCTCTGAGGTGGGGTACAGCGTTGTTTCCCTCATTGCAGGGTGCTCTGCATTCCACCAAACTGTTGAAATGAATGCTTTATGGAGAGGATCAGTTCTCTGTGTTAAAAACACAAATGTGAAATAGAGCCTTACCTTCTAGAAATGCTTGCCAGCAGTTCTGCACTGCAAAATGGTGAGGTTTTGTGCTTTTGGGTATAGTATACTGAGAATATTGAAAATCTTGCTGAACTGCAAAAGAATTGTCTCATTTTAGCAAAATACATATTTACTGTCATCTGCTTAGCAAAAAATGCATGCTTACCTTACATCTCATCATGTGCATATGACTCAGTAATGGTATAATTTATATAGCAGTAAGAACCATATAATTGCTTCCTCATCTAAGTATTAATTATAATTGTGTCAATCTTTGGAGTGTTGAATGATGATTACAGTTGAAAATTATTCAGTATTTACAGAAAATCCAAGTGCAATTTTAATAATTTGGATGCTGCTTCCTTTTAAACACCATTATATATTTGCTATACTCAGCGTTACATATCCTTTAGTGGTGATAGAAAATGAAGTCCATTTTCTCTGTGTAAAAAACTTTTTTTTTTTAGTGAAAATGCCAGTAAGAAATTTCCTGGAAATGAGCCTGTGATAACTCTGCTCCCCTGCCACGGCTCCTTGGCTCCTGTCCCTGGTCCCAGATGGAGCCCAGGCTTGTGGGTGCCCCAAGGGCTGGCTGGAGCTCCATCCCTGCTGTTGATGTGCTGGCAGTCAGTTCTGCTTCCTGCCAGCACCCCGACTCACCCTGGGGTTTTCCATTAGATACAGAACTTAAAAATTGCTTTAAAATGCAGAGTGCGTTTCCTGCAGCAACACATTTCAAAACAGCAAAGCAAAGAAGTTTTCCAGGGGAAAGTCCCACGGAAAGCACAGGGTTGAGCTCTCCTTGCTCTCTTGTGGGTTGTGTGTCCTAGGCCAGACACACAGAAGCTTTCAGATGAGGAATGGGACTATTTCAGATGAGGAATGGGACCATTTCAGATGAGGAATGGGACTATTTCAGATGAGGATTGGGACTTTCCAGGCAGAAGTGAACAACAGGATCCCAACTCTGTTTCGTTTCAGGCAATAGACAGAAACTTCCTTGGCTGTCTGCTGTTGGATGTCAGGACTGGCCTCTAGTCTGCATCTTGCAGCATTTTTTTTTTTGCTGGGCCATACAAAAGAAGTGTGGGAAGCAGATCTTCCTGTCCCACACTGTGTCCTCCCCAGCCGGGGTGAGCAGAGCGAAGTTCAGGGATGTGTTGTGTTTCAAATACAGATCCAGCCCTGGGAGCTGTGCCCAGCAGGTGCCGGGGCTTGGCCAGCGGCTCCCGGGAGGGGAAAAGGAGCAAGAGGTGCCCATGAGGGGCTGGGTGCCCGCTGCCCTGCCCGCCTCTCGGCCAGTGCCCGTTCTGGGAGCCCCTCGGTGCCGCACTCGGTCTCCTCTGGCCGGGCTGGTGCAGGGGGGCTCCGGCGAGTGCAGCCTGGGGACAAGGTGCAGCCCTGGCCCTGCTGTGCCTGAGCTGAGCTCCCAGCCCTGGCACACCGGCTGGGGACCCACGGAGTGCCAGCCCAGTGTCCCGGGCTCACTCGCTGGGTTCCTTTTCCTGGTCCCTTCTCTAAGGCTGGGAGCGCCCTGAGACCCCTGAGGCTCTGTCACTGTGCCCAGCCCAGCGTCTCTGGCCGCTCCCGCAGCTCCCACAGGTCACTGTGGCCTCACGGGAACACCCGCGCTCCTGATGGAGAAAGATACTGGAATTTCCTGTGCCTGGAAATGCAGCCGTGAGTGGGAGCCGGCCTGCAGCATCCTCTGGGACTGCTGTGCCTCCCCTTGGCTCCAGCAAGCTCCAGCCTGCGCCGCTGGGCTGCAGCTCCCGCCGGTGAAGCCGCTGCGCTGTGCGGACCCGCTGCCCCTCCAGCTCTGGGGATGCTGGCTTTGGAGGAGGACTTGCAACAGGCTTTGCTATGGCCTGGAAAGCCTGGCACCAAAGGAATAATGTGAATATTAAAATATGATTATTTTTTCTTTGGTTCTACATGGTACTGATAATAATATTAATTTTTTTTAGGCAGTGCTTTGCCTACTGAAACACACAGACAAAGAGTTATTTAAAAATGCTTTGTTATCAATACACTGAATGAGCTGTACTAGTGACACCTACAATGTCAACAAAAGGCTCTTCTTTTTCCTTCTGTTCTAAAACATGCAAAGTATCATCAAATCAACAAGTAGGCTTGACTGGATAACATTTATCTTCATTATGAGTGGCTAATTTCAATGGGTTCTGCAATGCTTCAGAAAGGTCAGATGCACTGCTTGTCTCTGCAGCTCCTTTATGGTGTGTGATGCCATGGAACACTTTGAAGCACAAACAGGGAAATTTACGTAAACTTGCAAAATTCACTGTAAAAAGAAAAAAATCCCATTGTATCCCTGTTTAAAGATATAAAATTGGTAAAACTTCCAGAGGTTTTATTCTCCTATTGGTGTGAGTTCTTCAGCAGAATGGAAGGGAAGGGCCGCTTCCGTTGCGGGGCGCCCCGCGGCAGGGGCCGCGCTCCGGGGCCGCGCTCCGGGGCCGCGCTCCGGGGCCGCGCTCCGAGAGGTTTTATTCTCCTATTGGTGTGAGTTCTTCAGCAGAATGGAAGGGAAGGGCCGCTTCCGTTGCGGGGCGCCCCGCGGCAGGGGCCGCGCTCCGGGGCCGCGCGCGCTCCCGCGCGGGGCCGGGCCCGGGCCGCTGCCGCTCCCGCGGTCTCCCCGCAGCGTGTGCGGCCCGCCCGGCGCTGCCGGCGGCTGCTGCCTCCTCCGGGCTGGGACACGTGTTTCTGGGTGTTCCGTTTCTTTGGCAAGGGTCCGTAAGGGAATATGGGGGGGGATCGTCTGTGGGAATATATATTTGTGTTGCTCCTGGCCCCACACATTCGTCATAGCTGAAAGAAAAAAAGAAACATTCATTAAATTCCTAGAAAAAAATGCCACAGTACATTACTTCAGCAGAACAGAGGCAAGTAAAGTGAGAAGCAAACAAGTGTCTGGTGTTCTGTTGCTCAGCCCACATCCTTGCAGGCTGCAGCTCAGCCCTGGTGGGAGGTGAGCGCTGCCAGGGCTGAGCCGCATAACCTGGGGCTGGTCACTCCGGGAGCGGGCACAGTGCCCGCTGTGTGCCTCCCAAAGGGCAGCAACAGGGCAGGTGCGCTGGGGCTTCCATGGGCAGCTGCCAGGCTCCGTGGTTCTGCCTGTGCCACCGGGCTCAGCCAGGGAAATGTTCCCTCCTCGCTCGGCTCTGTGCTCCCTGGCTGCAGGCAAGAGCCCTAAAGAGTCACAGCATCATGATCTTAAGTGTTAGACCTGCCTTGTGGCTGCTGTTTAACCATTCCAGCATCATTTTAACTCCAATCCTGTAGAAGGAAATGTTTCCCATTAAAAAAAACCCCAAAACAAAAAACAACAAAACAAACAAAACAAAAACAAAACAAAACAAAACAAAAAAAAAAAACCAAAAAACCCCCAAACCAACAAACAAAAAATACACAAAACCCCCACAAACAAACAAACAAACAAAAAAAAACCACCAAAAAAACCCCCCAAACCCCTTTCTCTACTGAGTTAACCTGAAAAAAATTTCTGCTGGAGCCAGACAAATTAAGAACCTATTTCCTCAGCCACACTAATTGCAGAGCAATTAAGATCTGGGATATTTCCTGAAAATTGGGATATTGAGCATGTGTCTTCTCAGCAGACTGCAGGCACACACTGTGCCCCTGTACCTGTCTTACTGCCAGGCTACACCAAGCTCCCAAAGCCCAGTCTGGGTGATGGAAATGGTTCTTGGGGAAGGGAGAGGTAAGAAAGTGAAATCAGAGTGCTACATAACTAAATTCAAATATCCATGGGTATTTTTATTTTTACCTTCATTTCCTCTTACTTTTATATTTGTCAGGACAATGGCTTTAAATTCAGACTAGAAAATTTCAATTTCCCCATCAGAAAATAATATTTAGGAGCCCAAGTCTGTTCTCAAAACCCTGAATAGGGCTGCTAGATATTTCAGAAAAGTCCCAACATGTTAGGAAGTAGAACTGTTTTGGTTTTTTTTTACAACATGTGGAAAAGATGTTACTCCAGCCTCTACTGAACACACTGAAGCTTTCAGACATACTTGGTAGTCTTTCAAAAGCTCTTAGACCTCCATCAGAGACTTAGGACATGCTGTCCTCACTCTCCTTGAGCTCCATGAGGGTAAAGAAACAGCCACTTCTTGCAGGATTCCTGTGAGCTGCATCTTTACTCTAATTTACATTTTGCTGACCCAAAGCTCGGTGAATTTATTTGAAATCTCTCCTCAGGTTTGGACTGACTTAATCAGGCTAACAGGGAACACTTACTGGGCCTGTTAGCACAAGGGAAAAGTTTCCATTCAGAAAAGCCCACAGCAATGGGAGTTTCAAGGAGGAAAATTTGGAATCCTTCTGCCAAGGAACAAAAGGGAAGAAGCTTCTCTGTCTCCTGCTTCTGGGAAATCTGCCACTGACCTAAAGGAGAAGTGGGCACAGGGGAACTGTTTCTTGCTGCTGTTACCTGATCATCTGCAGATGATTCCTCTGCCTTGGGTTTAATTTAATGCATTTCCTGGACCACAGCTCAGCTTTGTAGAACTGAACTGCTGGCTGGGATAAACAGGGAAAAGATCCCTTAGGAAGGAGACTTTGAAGGGTTAAGTAAATGGTGGGAGTTATGGTAGTCAGGAGTTGGCATTTTAATGTTTAGTTCCAAATATCAATATATTTGTGTTGGGGCATTTTATCCTTCATACATAGGATAAAAATAATTATCTCGTTTTCTCCAAAAGCAAGTAATGTTTTCCCCCCTCATTTTTGGCAATTAAGATCACATTTTAAAAATTGAGTGAGGTAGTAAAAAACACATGCCAGACTTTCAATTAAACAGCTTTTTGGCAGCTTCACAGCTGTGCCTACAGATTGTTGTGGCCATGGCGAGAATTACAAATAATTCAAATAGTTGTAGGTTTTGGTGGTTTTTTTTAAATAACTTTTTGTGTTTCATTATCAGTTTATGATCTTGATGTTCATTTCCTGTGTTCTTTTCTATGCATGGGATCTTTGCTTGTAGAGCTCCTGCTCTGTTTCTGCAGATAAGGTTCCTTGCACTCTCTGGTGAGGGCAGAATGGACATGAATTAAGGTCATTAAAGAGACTTTAACTTCGTGTTTTTTTCTTTGTTTCCAAGTGTTTTGTGTGTTTTTTAAAATGTATTTTGGTTGGGTTTTTTATGTTTGGAGTTTTTGTTTTTCTTTGTTTGTTTGTTTTGTAGTGCGATTTTTCCCCCCTCTGTTAACAGCTTTAGTACTTTGGTTGTGCTTTCTGACTGCTGTTATAGAGGCATTCCTGTAGGATAAATAATGCATTATCAACTCTACAAGCATGAATTTTATTTTACAGTCTCTCCTTCAAGGAGACTTTAATATGTAAACTTATATGGCTTTACAAGATCTTTTTAATTAGAGAAGCTAAGCAAGTATTATAAGAAATAGTACTGAGTTGAACAGGCATCCACTCTGTGGTGGCTGGAAAACCATTCCTCAAAAGATTTGAAGGATTACTTAGAAAAAATTTCAATAGCAATAATTTCTTGCAGGTGATTAGCAAGTATTGATGTGAGTGATGCTGGATGAAAACCTTACTGTCATTTTAAAATACAGCCAAACCTTGATCCCCAGTCTGGAGCTAAACAGGCAAAAATCTTTGGGGGGGAGGTTGGGAGGTTTGTTCTGTTTTGGTTTTTACCTGGTATTTTATGTGTGAGTTTTTTCTGGGCCAGATTTCTCCTGGTTTGACTGCCTCAGTCAGAAGCTCCCAGTTCAGCTGGGGAGCACCAGGAACACCAGGGAAGTGGAAATGGGAGAGACAGAGGAAGAGGGGAAGTCTGACACTGCAGCTCACAAATCATCAAACTGCAACCTCAGGAACTGCTAAGGGAGTGATACCCACAAAGGGGTGTGCAATATGTGTGTGTACATACACGTGTGTGTATATAGGTATATTTATCTATTTCTATATATATATTTACATATATATATGTTTTGCAACTGAAAATGCAGGACCATGAAATGGAAAAACAAAAATACTTGTTCATCTTTTACAAAACCCACCACAACAGTTATATTTTATCTGTCATGTTCACTTCTGTGAAGATATTGTAAAAAGTAGCTCAGGCTTGACGTTCACTACAGCAGTCACAGGAAAATCCTTTTAAACAGGAAAGCAAATGCTTTTGGAAAGTGTTGTGTTACCATAACATAAATAATGGAGCACAGGAATTCATTACACTGCATCATGTGGATACCAGCCCTGAAAAAATTCTTGGCTGCAGTACTTGTAGTGAATCCACTTTAATCCACTGCTTTCTAAAACTTGTATTACCTGGAGGCGCAGGAACAGCGGCAGTGATGAGAAGGAAGGGGTTACTGACCATGACATGTGCTGCTGTCTGCATGGCTTTGGGCCTTGTTTTGTTATAACACCTGCACTGCTGTGTTTAGACGCACTACTGAGTTTTTAAGGGATAATTTCCCTGAGAAAAGCAAGGGAGGTTGATTTGTCTGTGAGGTAAATGGGATCTGCAGAGGGGAATGGTGCTCAAAAATGACAGCAGCTCTCCAAGATGACCTTGCTGACTCAGAGTGTGGCAGGAGGGGCAGTAACTTTGGGAATTTGTTGGGTCTCGTTGCAGTAAGTATTAGGATGGGTTTATTGCCAGGGAAACTCCAAAGAGCTTCTTTAACTGGCTGTCATTCATAAATCAGGAGCCCCTCTCTGGGGCAGGAAGAAGGTTCTGCTGACTTTTTAAGATGCAAACAACACGAAGTGAAAAAAGGCAGAGCTGGGAATGAAGAATTCTTTGTGCAGTAGATGTCTTGTGGTTCACTTTGTTCATTTGTTGTATGTTCTAACTCTGCTACAATTGCTCCTGTTGCACTGTTTCCATTTTGTGTTCATTTGAAAATGGCAAACAGAGCCCCTGAATCTGGAACATCTGTGTGCTGGCAGGCTGGAACTGTGATGAAACAGCACAAAGGATGTTTCCATGATGATGTTACCTAACAGAAGAGCTGAAATTAGAACATTTGTGATGTAACTCTCTGCAAGAGGGTTCAGGTGAAAAAAATAATGATGAGTTTGATGCCCATGTAGGCAGTTGAGCTGATGATGCTGAACTCTGCCTTCTGTGATGGCACAATTAGCTCACAGCCAGGCTGGCAGGAGAGCAGCCTGGAAATCTGTCCATGTGTTCCTTGAGGTGTGTTTTCCTAGAATACATATTTTCTTTGGTGATTTATTATTACCATGGGGAAATATATCAGTTTTGACAGAACTGCTTCTGTAATGACATTGTCATTATGAGCTAGGTTTATTTTTGATCCTGACACTTTCCATTTGAGATTCTAATTATATACATATTTATTTACATATTTATTTTAATGTTTTTAAATAACAAAAAATGTAACCCAAGATATTGTTCAAGTAAACATCTAGGACTTAATTAACTTAACTATTGAAGAGACAGGAAAGGTGGAATTTAGGTTTTTTTCTGTCTTTTTTTCTGTCCATAGTTATTTCTGGAATTTCCAGTTCCTCAGAACTATACTAGGAATGTTTGTGTTAATGAGCACTAAAAGGTTGCATCTCTGTTCTGCACTCTGTGTCAAGATAATCTTGAGGAAGTTATGACTTTGATGGATAAATATTCCAGAGCAAAAATGAAATTAAGTGCAAACTGTTTTCATGAAAACATATAGCAGATAATATTTGGAACCAATATAATGCAGTTTCATCATAATTGTGCAGCTTTAAACAATTGAAATAAATTTTTAAATAAAACAAGTCATTCTAGGATGAAGGTTTCATATGAT